GCCCTCTCTGCTATTAGAGAAGTACCAGGAGCAACCAAGGTGGGCTGCCTGATTACAGGCAACTCTTGAAGCACCCAAGCGAAGCGAGTGTAAGTCGCTAATATTAATACTTTCTTATGTGAGTACTAGCGGCTCAATCTCGCTTCGAAAAAATAAAAACCAATCTATCCCACGGGAACTGTCCATTTTTCCGGGATAAAAAGTAGCCTATGTGCAATTCCAGATTATAATCTATCTCTGTGCCTTTCACCCAGATCCGTTCAACCGTTCTGGCGTGATTGAGTAACAAACATTCAAATATCCATCTAACCTATTACGAGTACATTTATAATAATTAGTAAGATTTGATATATCTAATAAAACTCTCTTTTCTTTTCGCGGATTTATTTTAATTTTTGGTCCTCGATATTTCGAATGTTTCACAGCAATCATGGTTATAGTACTGACGCTCCCGTGATCATCATTCCATAATAAAATTTCGTATATTAATATAGAAATAAAAGCATTGTAACTATACTAATACTGAAGATATAAACAGAAAGGCATTTGACAATGTGCCAAGACGGGTAATTTCGATACCGTTATGGATGTTTAGTGTTAAGGCGAATCTGCGTCATTAGGACGTGTGCCCATTTACGAGTAGTTCAGCTTGTTATACATGTACTCAAAAATTCTGGAAGACATTAAAATTTGAAGTTTTTATAATCTTTGTATGGGAAAGAAAAGACGTAAAAAGATTTCTTAACATGATTAGAAATGAAATTTGAGATAGTTTGAATCGGTTTTTATTTATTGTATCGAATTAAAACTGTAAATATGTGAAATCTAGATGACAATCCATCGATAAATAACAATACAGCTTGTCTTATAACAGAAATAGAAGTTGAATAATGGAATTCTTTAATATCTAATAGAAAAACTTCTGGTTCGGGTCCATTTTATTCCTTCTGACGAGTCCCAATTTTCAGTTCATCAAATATAAAATAATAAACATAAAATTGCGTTAATATTTACAAAAAAAAAATCAGTTGAATTGAGAACCTCCTCCTTTTTGAAAAATAGATTAATCTTTTTTAAACTCATTAAAAAAATCCTTTGATTAATATTTTATACCTTTTATTTGTACTGTAAAGGTATTCAGCAGTTGCACAAATTAACATACATCCCTGTTTCTTTCTTTGCAATTTATCTCTATCTATTATATGATCTTTTCAAATTGTTCAATAAAAACTTAAAGCTAACACTAAGCACCTGCCGTATTCTCTTAAAAAACAAGTATTATTTTAAAACGCGTTTCACCCGAAAACAGTTGGCTCTGCCAAAAAACTTTAATGGTCTCGAGTAAATTTTTCTGGGTTACAAGTTGTCTAATAACTACAATTTTGGTCCCGTTTTGTTCTTTTAAAGCATTTCTTTACATAACTGGTCAAATCAGATATGTTTTTCTCTGTACAAAAACCTTTGAATAATGTCTATAGACTGTCAATTGTAGTGAGAATGTTACTAATATTATGAATGTAAAAGCTTTGATGTTTGGATGTTTAAGAGAGATAGATTATAATCTGGAATGACACATAGGTAACTTTTTATTCCGGAAAAATGTACGGTTCCCGTGGGATAGAATTGTTTTTGTTTTTATAGAGGCGAACACCCTAACGAAGCGAGGGTGAGCCGCTAGTATAAAATATATATATATTGAAAGGATAATGAATAGTAATATTAGTAGTATAATAATAGAGTGCAAAAATAGATTTATTACTGACGTAATATGTATGTATGTAGCTAAATAAAATTTGTTAACTTTTACATTACTTTTACATTACATTGTAAGCAAAAAAAGTTATTTTTAAATATATTTTTTATAAGTCAAAAACTATGCGGCATGATGAGTATAATTTAAAATATCGCAGTGTGTTGAAGTGTTGATTATTTTTTCTATCTTTATATGACTAAGCAAAGACAAAACGGTTAAGAACTTTATTCTACTACGTTTGTCAATCGAGCTTTTTTCTTATTTTTTTATTAGTAATCGAGCTGTAGTGTTTTAAATTTATTTAGGGGTAAACTTTATTCAAGTATGTTTTCCTCAAATTTTAAATGACGATTATAGTGAAATTTCGGGTACTAGGCGGACATAAGTTTTATTTCATGTCCAGCTCTACTAAAAAAGAAAGAAGAAGAGATAGACAGATGGAAAATGTGACTCCTCAAGTGCTTATTCTTGAATTTTTCCCTTAAAATCCCTTAAAAAAGAACAAAATAAATAACATTTGATAATTTTACTGAAAACAAACTGAATATTATAAAATCACAATTCCATTAAGCCGTTAAATCATATAAAATTATCATACGTTACGTGTAAATGTAATCATATCGTCTTACACCTAACAGATCCTTTGAGACACTAATTAGAGCTTCCCTTCATATTCGTGAATTACTTCATTTATTCGCACGCTCCTTAAATATGTATGAACACTTGAAACTCGAGCAAGGAAAACGAAGTAAGCGAACTTAAGTATCACTCAGAACTTGGTGAAATTTTACTACGTAAAAGTTTAACCACCACGCTATTAAGGCTCAGAGACAATGTACAGTCAAATACAATATTCAGGAAAATCTATTGTAGTTGAAAATGTCTCATTGTTCCTTGGACTATTGTCGTTCAGCGCTAACTAATGGAGACTGCATTGTCTTAGACTATACTGACTCAGCCTGATCCAGTTTGGATCGGGATTTTAATTACATAAGACCTAGTATGCCTTTCGATTGGAAAATAGTATGGCGTACGTCAGGTATTGGTATGGGGAAAATTCCAATGAAAATCGTCCTTGAACTTCAAAGTGTATATATATATATATATATATATATATATATATATATATATATATATATAACCCATAAAAACGGCAAAAGTATTGCGATAAAACCTAAAACTTCATGCTATGGTATTTAATAAATTCATTCAATTTCATCGATTGGTAAAGATTTAAGAGAATGAAATAATAAACAAACACAATTGTAATATTAGTAAGACTAATAAAAACTGCTCAGAAAATAAATTTGAATATTTTAAAACAATTAAAAACGAAAGATACTGTTAATTTATTTCCTTCATTGAACTCATTGTTGTCTAATCCCTAATAAGCTTTTGCTCCATTTGTTTATCTTTCACACAAGCTTCGTCGCTTTTCATTCGAATAAATACAACTTAATAAGAAGATATTCGTTAAATTGCACGCTATTGCATTTCATTTCTCTTTTTAAGCAGACAATTGTTGCAACTGCATTTATTCTCGAAATGAGAAATTGATTTTCATTGCTTTTATACGTACTTTCAATATTCGTTCACATTAAATATGAAAGATTTCATTCACGGTTTCAGTAGGTACTTATTCTAAACTAGCGACTTACCCTCGCTCCACTCGGGTTCGTCCCTATAATTTTATAGTTTTTATAGTTACGTTTTAACGTTTAGTATAGATTTCTCAGAGATGAGATATTTTCCCGCAGTACAAAATATCATTTATATTGACCCGGATAACCAGCTATCATCACACCAAACTTCATCAAAATCTGTCCAGTGGTTTTCTCGTGATGCGGTCACAGAAAGACAAACAGGCCGCTTGAGCGCGATGCTAATGTCATAGCATGCGAATTAGCGACCATATTTTGCGTGGAATTATGCGAAACAAAACCGCATGAAAACTCGAAAACACGCGTTTTCCCAGACATAAAACTGATCTAGAAACCCTCGTACGCCCCCGAAACACCCCCCCCCCCCCCCGTATACTAAATTTACTAAATTTCATGAAAATCGTTGGAGCCGTTTCCGAAATTCAGATTATATATATATAATTCTCATCAGTATAAAATAGTAATGCCATAGTGTACTCAATGTTTGGATTTGTGTCAAATATAGTCGAGGATTTATGAAACAGAAATATATTGACAATAATATTATCGACAATTAAAACGATTACCCCAAGCTAAAAGTTGCCCGCATGGTCTTAAATTTAAACGATATCGTTAGTGAAAAATGCCTTGAAACTTTCTCTTTTTAGAAGATATGCACAATAAAACTAATAATAATTTTACTAAAACCCAAATTCCTAGTACTGTAAATACAAGTAAGGTAAATTTTTGTCACACTAAATTACAATTATTAGTGTTCTACGTTATAACACACTGCTTCATGGTAATTTCTTCTAAAAAGGTTAATAAAAAATCATTAATATTATAAATGCGAGTATTTGAATGGATATTTGTTACTCAATCACGTCGGAATGGCTGAACGGATCTGAATGAAATTTAGCACAGACATAGATTATAGTCTGTAATAGAAGATAAGTTACTTATTATCACGGAAAAATATGCGGTTCTTGTGGAATAAATTTGTTTTTGTTTTTCACAGAGCAAGGGATCGATTATCTATTCCATACTAAACGTCACCGTCCCTAGGCACAAACTCGAGCGGAGCGAAGTAAGGGTGAGTCGCTAGTTTTATATAAATTACTATAAAATAGCTCAATATGACAACTACCCACTAATTAAAAACCAAGTTCAGAAGGATATTACTCGTAATATTGTATGGTTTTTAATTTTTCCTGTCAGGATTTTATTAAATAACGAATTCCCAACGATTTTTCTTTCAAATCTCTCTCCTCAATACTGTATTGTGATAAAAATTTAATATAAGTTGAAAACAATCCAACCTAAAAATTCTCAATTTCCATGGAACTAAACGATGAATAAAAAATTCAATGTGTTATTTTTTATATTCTGCATTCAAAGATAATTATCATATGCAAATACCCATAAAAATAAATTGATAGTCATTTTAAATCTATTTACAACAAATTTATTTGCTAAAATATCTAGGCGTTCTATTTTAAATGTCCGGTTTCCTTTGATAAAAGCATAAATGATAATTGATTCCACATTTATTTTCATATTAACAGTCACATAATACAAACTAACGTGTCAACATTAAATAACATAAAATGAATTTCGTATTTGTGCTATTTGTAATTTCTCTCTTTTGGAGAAATAATAATTGTGGATTGGTGACAAACTTACTTGGAACTGTTGCAAATGAGGTTAATAAAATAAATAAAGGTGATGTTGTTGAAACATTAAGTGAAGAAACAAAAGAAATAGCCGATGATTTAGGTGGTTTTCTCTCATTAAGAAAAAGTACAGAACCTCCAAAAAGTAAGCCAGCATATTTAAATAAATCTGAAGATGAGCAAGCAAATAGTCACGAAATACTAAATAAAAAGGAGGGCCAAACAAATAAAATAAAAGATGAACGTAAGACAACCCAAGCTGTGGAATCAAGTGAAGATATAAAAGAAGAGATTAAAAACATAAGTACTTTAACTGATGAAGATGTTAGTAAAGAAAGTGATATCAGTAACGAACCTGACGAGTTCGAAACAACAACAGATATCGTCATGAAAGCAAGAGCTAATTTTGTTGGCGGATGCCTAAAAGGTTTTGCGGTTGCACTAGATGGAACTTGCCAAGAAATTATTATAGATTAGCATAAGCGCTATAACTTGTTACATTATTACTCATTATTTGATATTTGCATTGTTATTTGTACTACTATATAATACTTTTATATTAGAGTATTATCATTAATCCATACTAATATTATAAATGTATAAATCAATTATTTCTCCAGTAAGGGATATTTATTTATTTTACTCACTTTTCTATACCTATGTATGTATTAAAGTGTATTCCTTACTAACAGTTAAAACTTACCTAGGGACGAACTCCACCGAAGCAATGGTGAATCGCTAGTATAAATTATTATAAATGATCTATTATGAAGCTTAAGCTCAGAGGAAAACAGAATATTATTGTGCTTCTAGTGTAACCTTAAAAAAACGTTTTAATAGCATATTCATTCGTTCTTACCTGCAGACATATTTAGATATTAAATAATATATGACTTAATTAATATTTAACATGTTTTACTTATTAATTTTTATAAACATCGAGTTTTTTATGATCATACTGCATATAAAATATTTAAAAATTGAAAGCAATTCAATCTGAGACTGTTTTTAAGAATCCAAAAGCATTTGTTCAAATCATTTTAACTTCACATGAAGTATTATAAAACTTTTAAAGTGTATACGTTTAGGTCCCAGTGGAAGAGAATTCAATCCTTTTACGTGGCAATAAACGTCTTGCGGCTAAGCGTAGATGTAACAATAAATCTGTGTTACTTCAGGAGATGTACGTATGTGATAGGTTCCAGTGGTACTGAACAAAGCTAAGTAAACTACTGATTTCCTTTCACAGTGCAATCAATCGTTATTTACTAAACTTTTCTCATTATTTGCGGCAACTTTATAAATGCTACCGTGATATACTTATATCCTATATACATTATATATCTATACATATAATAAAATTGTAACTAAGTCGAATCTGTACATTAAATATTTTTTGGAAAATCTAATTGAAATAGACATTATTATCGATACAGAGTCCGAATCTATACTTTTTAGAATTTTTGTCTGTCTGTCTGTCTGTTACCGCATCACGAGAAAACCACTGGACAGATTTTGATGAAGTTTGGTATGATGATAGCTGGATATCAGGCTCAACATATAGGATACTTTTTACCGCGGGAAAATATCTTATTTCTGAGAAAAACTACAAAAACTCTAATGTAAGAGTATACTAATATGTAAAACCTAAGAATTTGGTTTTTGGTCATCTGAACGCAGGCGGAGCCGCGAGCAATGCTAGTACTATATATTAACGAAATAGTAATATAATGCGTATTAGTTGAGTCAAACAATATGGTGTTGGTGTTGAATGCATTGTTAATATCACAATTACACGTTCGGTCATCCAACAATATGTAATGTTTTTTTTGGAATAACCAAGTATTGCATATTTACGTTTAAGCTAGCAGAAAATAGCTAAAACACTGCTAATGCTAAACATTTAAATACAGAGGTAATTAAGTTAATGTATTTTTAGCAAAAGTAGATAAAAAATATAATAAAGATTTTTTCCGCAGTAAAAAGCATTCTATATGTTGACCCGTATAACCAGCTATCATCATATCAAATTTCATCAAAATCTGTCCACTGGTTTTCTCGTGAATGAGTTCAAAGATAGAAAGAAAGACAGACAGAAATTCTGAAAACTATAAATTCGGCCTCTGTGTCGATAATAATGACTATTTCAATAAGATTTTCCAAAAAATATTTAATGTCCAGATTCGAGTCAGTTAGAATTTTATTATATTATTTACATATGTATATTGTATAGATAAAAGTATCGTCCAACTATATGGAAAATGTCCGTTTTATGACATCAAAGTAAAAGAGGGAATATCTTTACAGTGCTAGCTTTGACTTTTTTGGATGTCCGCCAGTGACCAGTTATTTGTCTGATGCACCTTTGTGCCAGTAGATACGTTATCTGGCTTTATAGTGATTTACGATCTTTTATGTTATAGGAAAACTTTTAGCATTATATTTTTTAAATGAATATATTTTATTCTAATATCTGTAAGTCTATCATATAATTTTAATTTAATTTTAATTTTCATATATTTTCAAAGAATTCAATTCTAATTCAATTTTTTATTAATTAACTTAATCTCATTGTTTTACATGTTAATTTAATTAATATGTACTTTTTTTGAAATATATATATATATATATATATATATATATATATATATATATATATATATATATATATCTTATTCCCTAATTCTTTTTCTAAAATAAAAGTAGCCTATAGCTACTTATAGCATCAGCTATTTGCCAGTGAAAGTCCCATCAGAATCAGTCTAGCCATTTCCGAGATTAGCCGAAACAACGACAAAAAATTTGAACATTTTTGTTTTTCTTATCTATACTAATATTACAAAGAGTTTGTTAGTTTGTGAGATTGTGAGTTTGTGACGTTGTATTAGCTCTGGAATACTTTCTGGATCCTACTGAACCGATTTAGATGAAATTTGGTAAGAAGATAGTTTGAGACCCTGGGAAGGACATAGTATACTTTTTATCCCGGAAATCATCCCTTATGGAGGTGAACATGGGGATGAAAGTTTGTATTGGGAAGCAAGCTAGGGAAAGCTAGTAAGTATATAATTTCATATTATGCATTTAGTAAAAAGCTGTTACTTTGACATTACAAACAGACACTTTTTATTTATATTTATAGAGAATCCGTAAACTATTGTTCAAAATAAATAATACAATTCCCACAAGAAATATGACATGTTAATAATTCAGTTTAACACCGCGATGAACTTTCATTATTTTCGTAATGAAATTCTGAATAAAATTTCTCCAACAATGACCTTTGTAAGAGAATACGCAAATTAGCACTTATTTTAGATAAAGATGTTTTTATCTGTGCGCTGTCAAAATAATTGAAATCAGAAATTGCATTTATACGGTAAACTGTATATACTTTATTTAAATTGTATATATATATATATATTTGCATAATGAAACGTAATAAAGGGGCCGTTAAAATCATAAACGAAGTTATACCTTACATTTACTTTGCTATGAGGCGACAGAAAAGCGTTATGTTTCGATTTCATTTTTTATGTTTTTTTTCCATATGTTCATTTATTAGCACTTAGATGCTTTTTACTTCAAAATGTTTTCTTTCTTTTTTGTTAACGGTACAAAAATTAATTATTCTTAATACAAAGGCACACATGTACGCAAAAACACAAACACACATACATACACACGCGATTCACAGAAATTGAATATTCATTTGTGGCTACAACACTATCGCTTTCTTGAAAACAATTTATAAAGAAGTATACTAAAACGTTTTATTTCGATATACTTTCCAGTATCTTTAACGTGTATTAAACTTTCTCGTATATCTATCACTTTTTAAACCGTAAGGCATTTTCGAAACTACTTTATAGGTAAAAAGGTAAGTTGGATCTTCTGTAGACTGAAAGACTCTCAAAAAGTCCTTTGTGGAACATCTCCAGAATACTTTGAGCGACGCAAACACTCATCGAATGTTTGCTGAGGCCTCACTTTGAAAGATCTTTTTTGGTAAGAACGTTACAAGTTATTCTATAAAACATTTTAAGAAAATTAAATTTAAGTTACTAAGAAATTACATGAGCAAGCAATACTTTCAGTAAATGAATTTATTTTAACACCACCCTTGAAATTACATCAACACAGAAGAAACTCAATTTTGTACGTTCATAATATATTAGGTGATATCTTTGCCAATTATCACTTTAATTTCATTCATACCTTAAGGTTCCCATATAAGTTTCAAAAAAAGTTTTTTTTGTTTTGTTTTTGAAGTCAACACGGCTTTCTGAAGTTAAAAAAGTACTTATTACTCAAAGAAATAAAGTTTTGTAGAATATATTAATTTCTCAGACATTATCCACAAAGTAAAAAGTCAAATACAATATGATTTACAACCTTAATAATTTGTGGCAATTAAAAAACCATAAAGGTGCCAATTATAGTAACTAGGCCATATACGTTCGTGTCGCGGTGAACGTAGCCTATGAATTTTTATGAAATATTTCAGTTTTAATGTACAACATGTATTATTAACGTGAATGGAAAATTATCTTTACATTTACAAAGAGTTACAGATACTCGATTATTTTAGCGCTTACTTCATCTCGCCAAAAGGACAGTATAATACATATACATTTTTTTTTTTTGGAAAATCTTATTAAAAGAGTATTTATTATTGATACAGAGGCCGAACCTATAGTTTTTAGAATTTATGGGTTCTGTCTGTCTGTCTTTGTCTGTCTGTCTGGGAACGCATCACGAGAAAACTACTTAGCAGATTTTGATGAAATTTGGTATGATGATATCTGGTTATCCGAGTCAACATATAGGATACTTTTTACTGCGGAAAAGTATCTCATATCTGAGAAATCTATAAAAAACGTTAAAACCTAACTAGGGGCGAACAATAGCGAAGCGAGGGTGAGTCTCTGCTCTCTAGTCACTGGTAGAAATTACGTATAAGCATTTTGTCACTGTGTGCTTTTTCTTCTTATTTTATTTAACACCATTAAATATCAATTGTAAGTTGAATTGGTCTTAGCATGTCAGAAAACTCGTTTCTCGGGATACTTGAGACTTTCTTCATACATCATCACTTTCCTAGTACTACCTACTACTGAAAATTTGATTCCTTAATTAGCATTTAGGTTCAGATAAAGATTAAAAAAAGATTTTTTTTTAAATCAAAACTCGGATTATACAAATAACTATATTTACTCAATATTTGGCTAATTTCTGAAATATTATCAATTATTATAGCATTCTTTGATGTTCTTTGAGATGTTCAAAATTTATCTCATCCCAATTTATGGCCAGAGTAATTAGCTAAAGTGGTTAATGATTGTTCTATATTTCGTGCCACGTTTCAAGGTTAAGTTTATGATATCGGCACCTTGACTTATACGTTATGGATGACGGTTAAAAATTAAATAATAATTCTACATATATTAATTTACAAAGAGAGATACGAAAAG